CTATCTATCTATCTATCTATCTATCTATCTGTTTAACATTATACCTTGAGGACGTTCAATCTTGTAGATATCACACACAATCAAATATAAAAATTACTGTTTTGAGACAAGACATCCCAAAATAATGATTATTATAATTATCCATGTAGTAAAATAAGCCAATAAATGCTGTGCTTAGTTACACAAGTAACATTTCTTCTGATTATGATATTGTATTTTATTTTTCAATCTTAGTTGTATTATCTTTTTATTATTTTTGTGTTTTTTGTTATTATTATTAATACTATTGTTATTATTATTATTAATAATAATAATATTGAAGGTATAATAGCTGTATGCAACAAAGTGAACATTACTATTTTCTTTATTTTTTAATAACCAATCATCTTCTTCCAAATCTAAAACTTTTGGCATTTTATGTGTTTTACAAAAGCAAAATAAGTCAGTTAACTCATTTCCAAGGTCTGAACCTAAACATAATTGCATAAGTGATAATGATAATAATGGTATTATTTTTGCAATTATATTGCAACATAGTTGTAGACAAGAATGTAGAAGAGGAAAAAAAAAACAATAAAATCTCTAAATATAAAACCAACAATAAAATAATAATTAAACAATAAAATACTAAAAAAAAAAAAAAAAACTTGTGCAGGCCTTGTGCCAATGCACGCCTCCCACCAGTGCTGATATACAGCCATAGCACACTGCTATGAGTGTGATATTGCTCATATATATTATGTATTTATTTGAATTTGGGTCTATTATTTTTTTTAGCAAGTCAAACCCTTTACCCTGTTAAAAAATACCATATTTTTTTACTTTTTTTTTATTTGCTGAAAAATTACTGAATCGTAACCTTTTTTTTATACAGGTCCAGCTCTGGCAGTAAATGGTCCCAGCGTTTTTCCTCAACACAGTCACAACAGCGATGAAGAAAACTCTCAGCCCAGTTTTTTGGACAGTATCTTTTGGATGGCAGCACCTAAAAAGAGACGAACCATTGAAGTGAACCGGTGCAGAAGACGAAACCCAAATAAAATGATAAAAGTCAAGGTAAAATCTCATAGTTTTGTCTCTAACTAGAGCATAAGACAGCTTTCATGATGATATACTCTGATGTAGTAAACTGCAAGTTGTTTTTACGTTCTTCTCCCCTCCAGTACAACTTTGAGCCGTGTCTAGAGTGTGGAAACATGAAACTGAAGCACACTCTTTGTGGATTCTGTTATGAAAAGATCAGCAAGGAGACAACCAACATAAGGAGGCAAATGTCTGTGATGGAAGGTGGACCTCTGAAAGCTCCCGCTGTAGAGTCTGTGGTGTTGTATGAAAGTGAAAAGCCCTCTGATGCAGATCAGGGCAAGCGGATAGTCGAACGCAACAGGAAACGTCCATATTGGTTTAGCTTGTGATTGCAGTGAAATAAAAACCTTTGTTTTGTTCAATAAGAAATCTGTTTCCGTTTTATTAACTGAACATTTTATCTAATATATTTTTTCTATCATTGCTTTGCTTGATTACACTCCTTGAAACACTCTGTATATCATCTTAGCTAAGATTAGATGAACGTCTATAAAAGCCACACAGTTTAAAGCTTCAAATCAAGTCATGGTCTAAATTATTAAAATAAACAGGGGGGCTCCTGTTTATTTTTTCCCCAATTTCTGTTTAACAGAGAGCAGATTTTTTTTCAATACATTTCTAAACATAATAGTTTTAATAACTCATTTCTAACAACTGATTTATTTTATCTTTGCCATGATAACAGTAAATAATATTTGACTAGATCTTTTTCAAACACTTGTATACAGCTATATAACATGGTTCGGCTGGGTCAGTTGGCGTTTCTGTGTGGAGTTTGCATCATGCTCTGCTTGTTAGACAACATTCCTTTGTATAAAAAGTTTGAATTAATTTCATAAAGCTTGCAGAAATCCCAAATAAGCACTTAGTTATTTAATACCTACAAATTTGACTTGTCCATAATACTGAAGATGGCGTGACCAATATAAACACAACTGTTTTTACAAGTCTTTTTCATAATTTCTTCATTGCATTAATCTACAGAAATGTGATTTTAACATAGCATTTATCACATAAATCAACAACGTTACTGTTTTTAAAGACGAACAAAATTTAGTTTTTAAGCCCTGACAGGTACGAGATCTGAACTCTTCTGCGTTTCCCCTACGCTAGTGTGACGATATAGAATCTCTCCAATGCGCCCGTCTCTGGACTGTACCAATACGGTAAAGTATAAGGGATACATAGAGTCAACACAGTTGTATTTAATGTAGTTTGTGTAATAAAAATCTCTTAGAAGCCGACGATAATATGAACATTTAATAAGGATTCACGTAAAAACTAATTATAATTGCACACAAAGCATTTAATATGATTCACATGATAATAAATGGATTGGACTCTCCTATAAAAAGATAAATAGATGTCAAATGTTTTTAATGGAATTTGTTTAATCGTCCAGCCTGTCCGGAAGGATCTCACGCAAAAGACTAGATTGTTCAAGGTAAGCAAATCGAGCACGTTTCAACTGTAAATGTGAACAGATCTGTATAATAGCAGCTAAATGCATAGCTTGCAGCTTTAGCAGGTCAAAAGATTCAGGCCATGCTGTAAATATCATGACTATATTCTGTCATTGATGTCATACATTGTCATTGATATGCACAGTATGTCGTTTACTTGTACACAGACAGTTATATTATTATTGTTTACTGCTTGCGATGTGGTTGTTGTTGTTGTTGTTGTTGTTTCGGGTTACACTCTTCCAACCAATTACGTGCATACTTTCATTTTCTTACCAGGGTCTCTCCATGAACAACCTGAATGATCCTCCTAGATGGAATATTCGACCGGAGCCTGCAGCAGATGACGGGGGGAGATGGAACTATGCCCTGCTGGTGCCCATGATCGGGCTGGCAGCATTTCGTGAGTGTATATCTACAGTTGAAGTCAGAATTATTAGCCCTCCTGAACTATTAACTCCCTGTATATTTTCTGTTTGAAATTTTCGTCCAACACATTTCCAAACAATAGTTTTAATAACTCATTTCTAATAACTGATTTCTTTCATCTTTGCCATGATGACAGTACTTTACATTATATTTTATATTATATATTATACATTATATATACACACACACATTATATATATATATATATATATATATATATATATATATATATATATATATATATAAATATATAAATATAAATAAATATATATATATATATATATATTTATTTGTTAAGATACACATATACAGCTTAAAGTAACATTTAAATTAAATTATTTGTTTTATCTTTGCCATGATGACAGCACATAATATTTTACTAGATATTTTTCAATATACTAATATTCAGCTTAAAGTGACATTTAAAGGCTTAACTGGGTTAATTAGGCAAGTTAGGCAAATCATGTTATTACAGAGGTTTGTTCTGTAGACTATCAAAACAAAATATTGCATTAGGGGGCCAATGGTTAATATTATAATTGTTTTTTAAAGCTTATAAACTGCTTTTATTCTCGCCGGAATAAAGCAAATAAGAAAAAAACACTATAGGAAATACTTGACTTCATCTGTATATATTTTTTCAACCAGGCTGGATATGGACTCGAGAATCCCAAAGCCAGATTCAAGATGTGAAGAAGAAGTACGACAGCGACGTGGCAGAGATTACCAGAGACCTGGAGCTGAAATACAGGGAGACGCTGACGGAAAACCAGCGGACGGCAGCACACCTGGAGCTGGAGCTTGAGAAGGAGCGCCAGCGTGTACAAGGCTACAGGAAAGCCCTGATCTCTCACAGCCAGCAGCTCATGGAGGAACGCAAGCACCTCCAGCAGGAGCAGCAGGACTTGGAACAGGAGAAGAGCCGCCTGCTGCAGTCTGGAGTGGCCGGGACGGCGCTGCGGGACGCCCTGCGAAGGGAGCAGCAGTGGCAGCAGCGAGCTCAGGATCTGCTGCAGGAGCTGGAGGTGCAGCTGGTGGAGAGACAGGAGGCTTTCTGCAGCATCCTCTACCCACGAGAGCAGCGTCTGGAGATGGAGAAGAACCTGCTGCTGAAGGCGGCTAAACACACGCTGGGCGCAGAGCTCCACCTAGAGGAAGATCTCAGGGACATTTTTAAGAATGACAAACACTGTGCGGATTTGCTGAACATGGATAAGCGCAGGAATGGCAATCTGATGTGGCTGTATCTCAGGTACTGGCAGCTGCAGGTCACGCTGCAGAAACACAAGAGGGCAGAAGAGACGCTCAAAAAGGCATCGCCAAACTCAGGTGGGATCTCTTAAAGGGATAGTTCACACAAGACAGAAAATTCTGTCATCATTTACTCACCCTTCATGTGTCACAAACCTCACTTAAGAAAATATTTTGCGGCTTGTTCAAAACTTCCTATTTAAAATGAGCAGACAAATGTTTTTACAAATTTAAATGGATTAAACATAAAACATTTAAGTTAACATAATCTATTTGTGTTGGGAAAACATGAATGAATTTTGTGTCATAAGAAGATATTCAGAAAAATGTTAGAAACCTGTATCCACTGACTTCCATAGTATTTGTTTTTCCTATTGTGGAAGTCACTGATTACTGGTTTCAAACATTCTTCAAAACATCTTCTTTTGTGTTCAACAGTAAACACACACTCATAACTAAATTATATTTAGTAAATTAGCCATTTTAGAATGAACTTGCCTTTAACTTTCCCTAAAAGTTTTCCTTTGGTTATCCTCATGGTTTATTTATCAGCTACTTATGATGCCAAACCTTTTTTGGAAAACCAGTTGAGCCTTGACAATCATATCACAACATAAAACATTTTGTTTTTGTTTCTTACATGTGGAAGCAAGCTTAACAAATGCTTTCATATCTATTGCATTACTGGTAAAGGTTATTCGAGGATTATTTAATTTTCAGTCTAAACTGAGTTACTGAAATGTGCAATGAATAAAAACACAAATATTTGAGCATGATTGACTTTTTATTGTGTGCTGTAACTTCAAAAACACAAGAGTGAGATTCACAGTCAGTAAAGCCTTCATACTTATTTCCAAGAATTATCTGTTTTGAATAGATGTTGACTGTCCAGCAGAGATGTCGTAAACCTGCTGAGAAAGAGCAAAAGATTGTTTTAATTTAATTACATTTCATGCAATATTACAATAATTACAATATTCAGCATCAGTTTCATTTCCCAGTTTGTCATGTTTTGCAAAGCTATTTAGCATTAATGATTACACACTTTAGAAAAACACACTAGAATTGTTTAGGGTCAATCTAAACACAGGATACTGGGTTATCCTGCTTAAGGATTCATATGTCCTATTATATACAAGACTTAAACTACAGGTTTTCACTGGTCATGAAATTTCTGGAAAAAGTTGCATTTGAAAGTTACATTTTTTATATTTATGGGGGCGGCATGGTGGCTCAGGGATTAGAACTGTCGCCCCATAGCAACAGGTCGCTAGGTGCCTGGATTTGGCTAGGCCAGTTGGCATTTCTGTGTGGAGTTTGCTTGTTCTCCCTGTGTTCACAGTGGGTTAACACCATTGTGTAAATGTGGATTTTGTGTATTTGTGTAATCATTAGGTGCAGATGTTTTTGCCTCTAATGACCTTCCTGCATTTGTCCAATCAACAAAAAACACACCACAAATATCTAGTAAATGACGTAATCACAAGTGTCATGAATGTACATGATGAAACTTCAATGTAAAAAAAAAACACAGGATCAAATGTTTGATTTTGAGCGATCTGAAAAGAGATACCTAGGATTTCAGGGTTTTAGAGTGACCCCCAGTTCGTTGAAAGGGGACCTATTAGGCCCCTTTTACAAGATAAGTTTCTGATGTCCCTAGATTGTATATTCAGCTCAAAAACACCACACAAATAATGTTTTATAACTGCGGCTTTTAGGCTTTGATCCTAATTCTGCCATTTTGGTGACTGTCGCTTTAAATTCAAATGAGGCTGTGCTCTTTTCAAAAGAGGGCGGAGCTACACATGCATATGTGTCAGCATAGTGGCAGATTCAAAAACAAGACTAAAGTCCTATGCTAATGAGCGAGCGATTGTAACTAATGGGTGGGGCTTCCACCGTCTGATGACACGTGCAAAGAGAGAATAGGTGCGTTCGACTTCATGCAGCGCTGCGCAGATTGATCGAAATCTGTCTTAAAAGCTGTCTGGATTGACGCTGCGGCGATGCCACGTGACTGTCAACGTGGCATCAAAGTAAAGCGACAGCGCTCCGAGATCAGACGGCAGACTCAGCCAGTGCAGCATCTGAAGAGCGACTGCTGGACCTGCGATGGCGACACGGATATTATACGGCTGGCTGAGTTCACCGCATGACAACAACCACGTGCGTTTCGGATTCATTATTGGACAAATTCAGTCTCACAAATTTCAAAACAAACACTTTTTATGCCATCTCTATCTTGTAGACATCGTGCTAATTAAAAGACTACATATATTTTACTGCAGTATCATCTTTTGTTCAATAATTTATTCATTAAGACTAGATTGTTTGCACAGGTTTATTCTACCTTTTTATACAGACTTTTTACTGCATTCAGCTCCATAAATTATTTAAATTATGTATTTTAGTAATTAACCTACGTATTAACTGAAATAAGTCTTACAAGCTTGTAATAAAATAATTATCATTGATCTTGAAAGGTTTCTTATCAAATTAAGTTAAAAAAATATTTTATTAAATCTAAAAATATGTAATTATAAAATATTTTATTTCCTGTCAAGCTGTTTTTGCATAAAACTTAAGTGACCTTGATTTTTACTTAAAGTATAACTTAGCTCATTTATTTTGCTCCTTTTGTTCAATCTTTTTGAACTAAAGTGCTTTTTTTAAACATGCTTTTATTATCCAAAATAACCCTATTCAAGGAGATTTATTTCCTTTTTATGTGCCCTCTTGTTTCCCCCTATATTTCTCATGCGTTTGTTATATAGGTTACTTAAATTTAATTTATAACTCCCTTATTGTTTAATAATAACCTATAGTTTGTAAAGACTTTTGACCGAAGCAAATCTTTTGTTGTTTTAAATAAATAAATAAATAAATAAATAAATAAATGTTGATAAAGCCATGCGATTCGGTCATTACTACAATAACTTTGAGCCCGAAGTGTCCGGCCTGACGGCTCCATTTTCAACTCCGCCTCTGCCTGCGCTCGGTTAATCTCGTTGATCACCGGCCGCAGCCGTGCATGTCGAACACACCTAAAGCCAATCAAAGTGTTTCTGCAGACTGTTTTAATCAAGTGTGATTATAAAAAAATAAAATGAATACATTTTAACATTAGAAGCTGGTTATATTCACAGACTGTTGCCACTCAACTGTTTAAACCCCTTATAAAAGTGAATTTTGCATAAAAGGTCCCTTTTAAACTAAATAAATTGAACTCCTCATTCACTAAGTTTCTTGAGTAGTACTGAAACTGTGAGCATGTGCTGTTTTGCAGCTTTGTTTTTGGAGTATGAGTGAGGTCACCCACCATACTCGTCTATGTATCCGTGTCCATGATGGCCGTCAGCTTTCACCAGCTCATCACTCTCGTCTCTGGAAGCGGAGGGTGTCCCGCGGTGGAGAGATGAGGCTGGACGCTCTGAAGTCTGGACTCCTGGGTTGGATTACCATTGGCTTGTGTTCAGTGATGGACGAGATCTCTCTCTTATGAAGACACACTCCGCTTAAACTAGCCTCGGTGTCTGTGCTGGATTTGACTGAGGGTGAGGGCGAGCGGGTCACGTCAGGCTGAGTCACGTCTCTGGGCACAAATATTGGTATTGGGAGAATGTTTTTGTATGGTAAACGATACTCCTGCATTGGCTCCCTGTCTCTGCCCATCTGAATGGTCTGGTTTGGGAATCTGCGCACTGTGAAGTGAACCACCTGCTTGCTTTCGTAGCTCTCCTTTTTCATGGAGTCCTTCTCAGCAAGAGTCATCCTGTAAAGCAGAGCTGGTCAAAGTTAGTAAGTAATATGCATTGTATGTATTTTTAGTTAGAATTTTAACAAAATTTAAGATATAAAAAGCCATATTTTACCCAACAATCACAATTTATCCCCATTTATTTATTAATGTAACTTTTTGTATTAAAAAATGACTGTGTGTGCACAAATGTGACAGTAAAGGCATTTATACTGTCGCAAAAGATTACATGTATTAATTTTCCTTCAGCTCCTTGGTTATCAGAGGTCACCACAGCTGAATAAACCGCCAACTATTCCAGCATATATTTTACGCAGCAGATGCCCTTCCAGCCGCAACCCAGTTCTTGGAAACACCCATACACCATTGCATTCACACACACTCATATACTATGGCCAATTTAGTTTCCCTAATTCACCTATACCTCATCTTTGCCCGGGGATACCCACGCAAACACGAAGAGAACATGCTAACTCCAGACAGAAATACTAACTGGCCCAGCCAGGACTCGAACCAGTGACCTTCTTGCTGTAAACTGACAGTGCTAACCACTGAGTCACCATGCCGCCTGCAAAAGATTATAATAATAATAATAATTAATTCCTTACATTTATATAGAGCTTTTCTGGGCATTCAAAGCGCTTTACATATAGGGGAAATCTATGCTTAGCTTCAGTGGACGACCATGTGAGAGTTGCAGAGAGCTAGCTGCCGGCAACAGTTTCAAATAAATGCTAATCATCTGTACTTTAATCTCCCAAAAATGTTGGGTCTAAATCAAATCTGAAAGCCCAAATGATGAAAGAAATTTAATATAAAAGAATAATTCTAGTGATTATTTTAAAAATAGAAAACATTTCACAATATGACTGTATTTTTGTTAAATGACGCTATACGTGAATTTTAATTTAGCAAATTAGAAATATTTATCGTCCCTAAACTTTTAAAATACACTATATAATTACATCTTAAGTATTATTATTGAATATTATTATTTATTTATTTTTTATTCTCAATTTTATGATATTAAACAGTTTAAACATTACTAGCGATATTCAACATGGCAACATTACATAAATTAAACAGTAAAACAGACTATTTTAAATACAAAATGTGTTTTTTAAAGCGTCTGTATGACATTGACTGGGATTATCCTCACTGTCTTAATGTATTTAAGGATGGATTTTCTGTTTACTTGACTAATTTTGTTGATGGTTTTTAATATTTTCTAAGATGTGTCCTTATGAATTTACACCAAAAATACAAAAATATGTTTAATTGAGTATAATTGATGGTGCCTTTAAAAAAAAGAAGAAAAAAAAATCCTGGTTTTGTACCTATTGCAGTATTACTATGAAAAAGAAAAAGAGTAAACTTTACAGGGCCGAGTTATTATATTAATAAAAAAAAAAAAAATTAATAACCAAAAAGGCCAAAAATATTTTTACTTAAGCATAATTGACGGCTTCTTTGAAAAAAAAAGAAAAGAAAAAGAGTAAACTGTACATGGCCCGATTATTATATTAATAATAATAATAATAATAATAATAATAAACTTTAATATTTACACCAAACGACACCAAAAATATTTAAGCATAATTGACGGCTCCTTCAAAAAAAGAAAAAAATGAAAAAAAGAAAAGAAAACTGTATATGGCCGAGTTTTATTTAAATAAAAAAATAATAATAATAAAAAACTTTAATATTTACGCCAAAAGACACCAAAAAGATTTTTTAATTAAACATAATTGACGACTCTTTAAAAAAAAAAGAAAAAAAAGAAAAAGAAAAGAGTAAACTGTATATGGCTGGGTTATTATATTAATAATAATAATAAATAAAAAACTTTAATATTTACACCAAAAGACACCAAAAAGACCAAAAATGTATTTTTTATTAAGCATAATTGACAGCTCTTTTTAAAAAAAAACATTTTAAAGAAAAGAATAAACTGTATATGTCTGGGTTATTATATTAATTAAAATAAAAGTAATTTCTGTCATTACTCGTCCTCATTTAAAATTGCCATTGTTTATATATTTGACAAACATATAAAGCATCATAATGGTCTACAACATGCATACTATGTCTTCTGAGGTTCAGATGCAAGTTAGCATGAACAGACATTAAACCAAAATAAAAATCCAGATTGCAAAATTTAAAAACTACAGAAGCTGGGAGAATATTTAGTAAATGCCTTCATTTTAGCCTATATACCTTCAAAAGGCTTTTAATAACAAAGTAAAAACAAGGACAAATCCTTCAGCTTCCTCCAACAGCCTCTGATTCTTAACAGCATATAAATATAACCAGATTTTTCATATTTAGGTAAAGTATTTAATTCAACTCTCTTCAAATTAGCAAGTAAACACAGGAAACAGAAAGGCATACTTGTATTCTGGCCTGGTCTCCATCAGCAGGTCTAACCAGGTGGCTTCATACGATTCTCTGGAAAGCTCATCAGTCTCCTGTAGATCACTGTAGGAGTTCAGCAGATATGACCTGGGCGTCCTGCTCAGGCAATGCATCTCAAAACAAACACGACACAAATAATACAAAAAAAAAAAAAAAAAGGAAGAAAGATGTTAGTCAGATCTTCTGATAAAACCTGCTGCTTCCCTCCTGAGTGTTTGTGAGTCTTATAAATAGGGTTTGGTACTATTTTTAGAGCCTGTCATCATGCCTGCAGGGGTCTCTCCAGATTGGTGTGGTTTGACGAGGTGGGAAAATGACTAATCCTGCGACCATTTCACTGATACTCGTGTCTCCACCAGGAGGTCAACAGTGCCAAACCACCCATGTGATCTCATATTTTCTGTTGTATGTGCGTCAAAACATGGTTATTGCTGATGGCAACAAAACTACACGCTGACTGCAGCTGTGTGGTACACTATCACTATGACCCGAAAACATGGTAATAGCATGGTGTGTTTTAGGTGAATGTCTTAGATGTTTAGGCTGTATTCGCTAAACTGATCAATGTCAAAACAAATGATGGCCAATTAAATCAAAGAAGGCGGTGCGTTACCAGCATACACTGAAAAGGTTATTAATTGGTAAGTGGTTTTAAGGTCAATTTTAAGGTAAATTGTAGCAAACAATTAATAGGAGCTGAATTAAAATAGATTAAATTGTTTTTAACCTAATTTATTTGTTTAAATCCAGCCCATATAAATTGTTTGCAACCACTTGCCTTGAAAAAATTGAGTTAATTTAATTCTATTTATTTTTTATTTTTTTCAGTGCAATACTTCTGCTTAGAATGGATCAGGAGTGTAAGGTTAGGCGTTAGAACAGGGGTGCTCAAACTTTTTTGTATGAGGGGGCAAAAACCAAATCTCATTGAGAACCGTGGAACGAAAGTTAAAGCTGCCATAGGTAATTTCCTAATTTATTTCATAATATTTAAAAACAAGGTGACGCAGTGGGTAGCACGTTCGCCTCACAGCAAGAAGGTTGCTGGGTCGCTGGTTCGATCGGCTCAGTTGGCGTTTCTGTGTGGAGTTTGCATGTTCTCTCTTTCCTCTGGGTGCTCCGGTTTCCTCCACAGTCCAAAGACATGCGGTACAGGTGAATTTAGTAGGCTAAATTGTCTGTAGTGTATGAGTGTGTGTGTGGATGTTTCCCAGAGATGGGTTGCGGCTGGAAGGGCATCCGCTGCGTTAAAAAACTTGCTGGATAAGTTGGTGGTTCATTCCACTGTAGCGACCCCGGATTAATAAAGGGACTAAGCCGACAAGAAAATGAATGAATAAATATTTAAAAATCAATATAAATCATTAAATTGTATAAACTATGCAGTATAATTTTAAATTATAACTTATTACAATAAACAACTAGAGAATGTTGAGAGAATCAATGTTGAATACAATAATCAAGCAGAATCCCGTCTTTGCCTTCATTTGCTCACTAATTTCTCTGCATTGTCTATCCATAGGGGTGACAGTATGTAATATTGTTATTTTTTTAAATTGATTTTTTACAACATTTCATTAATATATTTAATTTCAGTTTAATTTTTATTAGCTTAGCAATAAAACAAAAAAGTTAAATTAAATTAAAAATTGCAGTCTCTAAACCATCATAATTCTCCCTCTCTTCTCAGATGGGAAGGTTAACATAAGCCATCTTTGGCCTGTGGGCTCTAGTTTGGGAATTTCTGCGTTAAAAAAACACTTTTTTTATACAGACTCATTTTAAACAGCTAGTTTGACAATTTTTTAATCCATTCAGCTCACTGAAAAAATTAATAAATAAAATGTTTTTTTCCTAAAGTTTGACTCCTCTGTAGTTGTAATGTTTACCAAGTATGATGGAAATTGAAAAAATGTGCTATTTTCTAGGTCAATATGGCTAGCAACTATAATCTTCTTCCGTCGTAATAATCAAGGGACTTTGCTACCGTGGTTTCAGCAGGTGTGAAATTATCAGGGCATAATCACACTAGGCTATCTGAACCATGCCCAGGCACGCTTGACTCCCATTTCCCGTTTCCTTTAACAAGTGTGAGTGCTCCGAATTGGGCTCAGGCCCTGACCCAGTTGGAAGACAAGGTCTGGAGCGTGGTTCGATTGGGCTTTATTGCAATCATGCCTGGGCACAGTTTAATACAACTATCCCTGGTGTGAGTAAACCCTCAGATTTTAACTGGTGCTACAAATAGGGCTTTGTTGGGGACTATTTTCAACCATGGTACAGCAGCAAAGTACCTTGATTATACTTTGAAATGAGAGTAGCCTATAGTTCCTAGCCATATTGGCCGAGAAAATAGCTACTTTTCCTTTTTTCCATTGGCTTTAGTACATGATTTAACTACAGAAGAGTCCGTCTTTAAATAGGAAACTCTTTAAAACTCTTCAAAAAGTTTTTTTTGAACATGATGCTAAAGGTCTAATCTGATTCAATGATCTATGCTAAGCTAAAGGTGCTCCAGCCAGACCCAGAGACTGGCTGAATCAATTTAAAAATGTTAAAACTCACCTGCTAAACCCTTTGGCGACATGTAAAATAAGCCTTTTTCAAAAAGTAGACTGATCCTGTAAATAGAAATACCATTACAACTATTTTAAAGACAGGAAAGTTCCATGTTTATGTCGTTGCTTCGATCTGTGAAAAAGTACCACACAAAGTAACCTTTAAAAGTCAATACAAAGCATCCCTGATGTTCAGAAAAAATAAAAATAGGAGCGGATCTATGACACTGGCCTCATGCTGGAGGGTCCTTGTCTTCTGTCTCGGTTGTCAGCAGCTGTGCAAAGGCTTTATTATCTCATACTGAGGCATTCAGAGCCGCATGTCGTCCTCACAGTCCTGAACTGTAGGTGAGATGCACATCCATCACTCAGCACATCAACAATCCTTTCTCCAGTTACTGATGAAAGACGTCTCTCTCTCTCTCTCTCTCTGAATGAGGATTCCTGCGGGACCACTCTTACACTTGTCTTCAGCATCCATCAGCCTGTCGTAAAAGTGTTAAAGCTTGACTGATCAAAAACAAAAGCAGTCACATCTTATGACAACAATGCAAAACATATCAGAAAAAAATCTAAAGATAAATATAAGAACTTATTTTTTGCTGAAGAATGCTTTTTAGTTTAGACCATTCCGATTTTTAGGGATGTCAACAAATTGAACTGAATTGGTTTCTCTAATTTCATAATAAACATATTTTTACATTTAATTTAATATGCAAACAAAGTATTTTACATTAAATATGTGTAATATATTTGTGATTTATTTATGGAATTACTTTATTTTAGAGACAAACTTAATAGTTAAGTGTAGTGTTTTTGTTTTGTTTTTTGTTTTTGTATTGTGTGTTTGTCAATTGGACAACAAGATCACGGTCACCCAAATAGTAATTAACCACACAATTGAACATCATCACCGTCATCATTCCCTGCATTATAAAGGCCTCACATAGTTCACTCTGCGTCTAGAACTCTATTACATAGTCAGTGTTGATACTCGAAGCTAAATTAGGCTTACTTACCTTCCTTGTCACCTGTGATCTCCAGTGTTTCCCCGTCTCTGTTTCTTCTGTTCCATTTTGGCATCAGTTCCTGTATCCATTGTCATCCCTTAAAGACTGTCAATTGGTTTCTGTCATCCATATTATACTCTCTGAAAATAAACACCCGCATTACTCACCTGCTGTAAACTGCCATTCTTTACAATAAACAATAAATGTCATCTACTTACCCGAGTCCTGTCCCTTCTGTGACAGTTTTAAATATTTTTTTTATTAAATACATAAAGTTGTATATTCTGATTCTATTACTTGTTGAAAAAAAAATCAATGAATGAGTGAAAAAGAAGAGAAGAGAACCCAGTCCAGGAGACTTGAAACAAGCAGAATTCCTTTATTGAGACGTGTTGGTTAATCTGCAGTCATACAGCGTCTTTAAGATGTGTCTGCAAGAGCCTACTAGAGGTCTGCAGTCTGCAAGTTCTTTCACAAGTCTCTCACAAGTCTCACATAAGTCTGAATTAGTCAAAGATGTCCTGTCTATATTGTCCTGTTAGGAGGAGGGGACATGGCTAAACAGAGCATGCAAATTAAGAGTTGGAGTCAGCATGGCATAGGTGTTAAAAAACGGCCCAGCTACTGACCACACAAGTTAATCAACATAGGGTTTCTGTAGCATAAAAGCAACACCCGAAGACAAAGACAGAGTCGTTTAAAGCATTTGCATCACTGGCTTAGCCTGTAGTCAGAGAGATAAAGGTTAAATGTCCCTCCTAGCTGGGATGTTAATGAAATTATATAATTAAAAAACAGAGAATATAACTTTTCAGTTATACGTAGATTATTGTTCATTTGGAATTAGTTGATAGAAATTTATATTTCCACATATATGAAAACTAAATATTTTTATGTAATACAATAAAAATGAGAATATACATATACACCCCTTCATTAGGTACACATTACTATTACCGGGTTGGACTCCTTTTGCCTTCAGAACTGCCTTATTCCTTCATGGCACAGATTCAACAAGGTACTGGAAATATTTCTCAGAGATTTTGGTCCATAATGATAAGATAACATCACCCAGTTGTTGCAGATTTAGCAGCTGCACATCCATGATGGGAATTTCCCATTCCACCACATCCTAAAGTTGCTTTATTGTATGAGTTCTTGGTGGCCATTTGAGTGCAGTGAACTCATTGTCATGTTCAAGAAACCAGTCTGAGATGATTCAGGCTTTATGACATGGCGTGTTTTCCTACTTGTAGTAGCCTAAAGATCTAAAGATGAGTAAACTGTGGTCAAACGAATGGACATGGTCAGCAACAATACTCAGGTAGGCTGTGGCGTTGACACAATGCTCAATTGGTACTAATGGGTCCAAAGTGTGCCAAGAAAATATCCCCCACACCATTACACCACCACCACCAGTCTGAACGGTTGATACAAGGCAGGATGGATCCATGCTTTCATGTTGTTGACGTCTAATTCTGACCCTACCATTCAGAATGTTGCAGCAGAAATCGAGACCCATCAGACCAGGCAACTTTTCCAATCTTTGTCAAATGTTGGTGAGCCTGTGCGAACTGTAGCCTCAGTTTCCTGCTCTTAGCTGACAGGAGTGACACCTGGTGTAGTCTTCTGCTGCTGTAGCCCATCTGCCTCAAGGTTCGACATGTTGCGTGTTCAGAGATGCTCTTCTTTATACCTCGGTTGTAACAAGTGGTTATTTGAGTTACTGTTGCCTTTCTAATAGCTCGAAGCAGTTAGGCAGGTGTACCTAACAATGTGGCCGGTAAGTGAGAGTGTGTCTGTGTGTGTGTGTGTGTGTGTGTATATATTAATTTGTGTTGTGTTGGGACAAGATGAAGGAACAATTTGGACTTTGGACAAGATGCAGTTATTTAAAAAAAATGTAATCTGAGGATGCAAAAAATTAAATACTGGGAAAAAAACTCTTTAAAATTTGTGCAAATTAAGTTTATTGCATATTATATATATATATATATATATATATATATAAGTTTACAATGGGAATTGTACAAAATATCCTCATGGAACAAGATCTTTCCTCAATATCCTACAGATTTTGGCATAAAAAAAACAATACTTTTGTCCTATGCTCACATTTATAATTTTGTGTCTGAGTAAAATGTAATTCTTGATTTATTCTGTTAATGCCATCTATTTAATGAATCTACTGAGATAATGATTACTAAAGCATGCAGCACATTCAGAGATAAGTCACAGAGAGACGTGAGACCACTTAGCTGGTTCCACCCTGAACTTAGAGAGATATTAAGCAATTACTACCAGGTTTAGAGGACTTTGATGATGCTACCATCCTTTTAAAGCCTGGAGTGGAATGTTGAATGTTTGCCGAGCAATGTCAGTGATGCACTGAACGCGAGGTACAGCGTCAGATTACTGCAGCCTGAGCCAAGCCAAAGCAATGCATGCAGCAGCAACAGCCAGTTCCCCCTGTAACAAGACCTGACGGCAACTGCAGCACCTGCACAGCATGACGGATGGGAAACGGCCCCAAACAAAGACTCTCGCTGGGTTATATTCAGCTTATATTTAGCTATATTGAGCTACTACAGGCCCGTAGCCAGGGGTGGTTCAGAAGACCAACCCCCCACTAACAAAGGTCCAGAATTTGTCCCATACATGAGCTTATTTTTCCTATTTTGACTGCTCTGCCACTATAAATTGTGAAAATAACCCATCGAAGGAGGCTTTAAGACCAAGTGGAATCCTTCTTACTTCTGTTAATCAGTTTTGGCCATTCATTCATTCATTCATTCATTCATTCATTCATTCATTCATTCATTCATTCATTCATTCATCCATTTATTCATTCATTCATTCATCCATTTATTCATTCATTCATTCATTCATCCATTTATTCATTCATTCATTCATCCATTTATTCATTCATTCATTCATTTATTCATTCATTTATTCATTCATCCATTTATTCATTCATTCATTCATTCATCCATTTATTATGTCATTCATTCATCCATTCATTCATTCATTCATTCATTCATTCATTTTCTTTTTGGCTTAGTCCATTTATTCATCAGGGGTCCCCACAGTGGAATGAACTGCCAACTTATCCAGGATATGTTTTGTGCAGCAGATGCCCTTCTAGCTGCAACCAGTTTTGGCCAATGCAAACAAATATTTTTCATGAGTCCAACATCTGTGCCAGAAAACATACAATCTGACGCAAGTAAAGTCATCTTTCACCACTGACCAACTGTATTGTTGTTAAATAAAAAAAACATTTTTACGTAGTAAGTAATTTTATTCTAAACTTTGGACGTTAACAAAAAGTGATCCAATGAAAAGACGTGAAGCACTAAAAGCGGCCCGTATTAAAGTTAATTTAAATACTAATCAGGCTATTGTTGTTATCAATGAATTTTCGATTAAAATTTTTTATGCAAGAGAAAATCTAGAAAAATTGTGAAGTTCTACATTATTATTTATTTATTTATTTATTTTTTTATTCAAATGGAAAAATTCTAACAGAGGAAAGTTTAATGTGCTGGCCAGACTGTTTTTTGCCTAATAAATGAAAATAAGCTAGAGTTTTTAATAAAAAAAATGTAACGAATCCTATTTTTTTCTTAATGATACATTATGTAATAAATTTGTATTTTAAAGTCTGTTTTTTTTTTCTAAATCTTTAAGGAAATGTTTTGGTACATCAAAAAGTTTGGTTCAAATGATCATCCGACAAGCCATTTAAACAAAAAAGTGCTTTAAAAGCAGTATGTAAACCTCATAGTTAAACAGAAAATGAGGCAAAGAATCCCAAAAACGTCCACTTTTTGAGAAAAATGAACTACCTCTTTTACCAAGCAGGATAATGCTACAGTCTATACTGACAAACACTGTATTGAGCTAGTAAATGTATTTTTTGTCTTATAGGGGAAATATGAGAAAAGATATTGTTTCATAATTTGGTGACCCCGCTTTCTGTTTTTGAGAACTAAAAAGTTCCCAGTTGATAGATTGCTTTAATTGCATTTTTTGTATTCAGTTTTGTGTTACACATTTTTAAAATATTGTTTATATACTGTATGCAAATGAAGTATTGTTAAGGTCTCAATTTGCATGCAGTTGTAGCACACAAATCTGAAGATAAATTAAAGTGAAGTCCCTTTTTTGACATAAGATAATATAATATAATTTCTTTTTTGACAAAAGATCAAAAAGATCTAATATCATTCATTCCATCATTTTCCTTCGGCTTTTAATCACAAAATGCCACCTATTCTGCTGCTGACCTATTTCTTAAACATTATGGTATGTGTTGTTGAAATGCACTAGTCAAACTAGATTTTAAATTTTATCATCTGAAATAATAAGCTTGGCTTGACTGTGACAAGCACAATGTTCTCTTCCCAATCCTGATTTTAACGCAAACTCACAGCATTCTGCATAGCTTTGTAGCCATCAGAAATCATCTTAAAGAGACCGTTCACCTAAAAATGAAGGACCACTTTTCTTTTAGGAGTTTCTTTCTTCTGTTGAACACAAAAGAGGATATTTTAAAAATTGTCTTCCACAGTAGGAAAAACAAATACAATGAAAGTCAATGGTTTCCATCATTCTTAAAAATATCTTCTTTTGTGTTCAACTAAACAGAAAAAAGACAGTCAAACTGGTGTTTTTACTGCTATGGAGGTCAATGGTTACAGGTTTCCATTTTCTTTTTGGCTTAGTCCCTTTATTAAGTCAGGGTCGCCACAGCGAATTGAACCGCCAACTTAGTAAGCACGTTTTTACGCAGTGGATGCCCTTCCAGCTGCAACCCATCACTGGGAAACATCCATTCACACACATACACTATGGACAATTTAGCCTACCCAATTCACCTATAGCACATGTCTTTGGACTTGTGGGGGAAACCGGAGCACCCGGAGGAAACCCACACGAACACGGGAAGAACATGCAAACTCCACACAGAAATGCCAACTGACCCAGCCGAGGCTCAAACCAGCAACTTTCTTGCTGTGAGGCGACAGCACTACCAACTGTGCCACCGTGTCGCCTATATCTTTCCATTATTAAGAAAATACTGCAGCCATAATAATAATAATAATAATAATAATAATAATAATAATAATATGATAATAATAATAATAATAATATGATAATAATAATAATAACAAAATAATAATAATAATAATAATAATAATATGATAATAATAATAATATGATGATAATAATAATAATAATAACAAAATAATAATAATAATAATAATAATAATAATAATAATGATAAAAAAATAATAATAACAATGATAAT